AAGTGTGTGGATTTAGTGACCGTATACTGTATTATTATTGCGATCAATGGATGTGATAATGTGATAATTTCTTACCAGTATTACGTGATTACAAAAAAGGTGAAGACAGGATGACAATAGTGAGAAAGAGAGAGTTGTTTTGGGCAACCCTCAGATCCTGGGGACGAGGGTCTGCCCATCGCAGCACTCAGTGCATCTGTGTCACAGCGTGATCTGTGCTACTGTATAAAATCTGTAGGTGGTGCTCAGCTTACACAGCGCACTGCACGACAGCACTGTGGCTGATGTGCATTGAGGTTGTGAGTATACATCACCCTGAGATCATTTACGCTTCTGCATCACCAGTCTGTGAAACGTATACAGCACTGCTCGCAACATGAGGGAAGGGAGAGTTTGATGGCTGCTTTGAAACAACAACCATTTTATATAGCGCAAAATTGTTTTTGCCAATTATGCCGTGATGACAACATAATTGATGTTGCATACAAATTTAGGCCACATAGGCAGCGCCGCGCTCGTGGAGGCTAAAAGTCTTGGAACAGCTGTGGCAGTCGCAGCGAGGAGTCACAGCAGCAGCTACACAAATGGAAAAAAAAACGCCTTGTTGTGTGGATGTTGTGATGTGAACACAGACGACCAAACGTGCTGTGATTTCTACATTTAATTAATAGGAAAGAATGATTAAAGATGAAGCGGTGAAGCTGATCGTATCAATCTCATGTTCAATGTTCAACAGTCGCATCATATTGTACAGTGTGATACAGCAGCGTTAGCAGCATAATTCATTTCAGGAATAAAACAATGACTGCTGAAAAAGCTGCAAAGAAATTTGGAAAGGAAGTCATGGATTTGAGTCATAGCCGACCAGTCTGATGCAGGTAAAGGTGTTGCAGCCTGGTGTTATTTGCACTAGGGCTGAACGATATAAATCATGTAACTAGTATGGCAGATATTGTGATTACGACGAGTCATGATTTCACTTCAGATGATCGTTTTTCATTTTCATTTTCACCAAAGTTTAAAATAAAATGATGATGGATGATGATTTTTGTTGGTCTCGTACCAAACAAACATGTTCTTTCCGTCTGGAGAAAATGATCTGTAGGCCGGGGCGTGTCTGTAGCACCACAGTGCTTATGGTGTTGACAGTTCACAACGTGACATGTTTTAGCTTCATCAAAAAAAAACACACCTCCCGCGATTTCAATTATATTTCAATAAATTGTGCAGCCCTAATTTACACATGATTTAATGAAGTTAAACAGGGCGGGCGGTCGTGTGTAATGGCACTGGACTCTGATGCGACACTTTTCAAATAAGGTCAGGAACAAACTGGATGCGTGGCATGTGCATGGCGGCTGTGGAACGTCTTGGTTTTCAATTTGGAGCACATGTTTACAGGTTAGAGCAAACACAATGGCTGCGTGACACACGTGTCTCTCGCCTCGCGGCTGCGTCACATGTCTCACGCCTCGCTGCTGCATCACGTGATCTAGAGATTTGGCCTCTCGCCTATTTTTCACTTGTGACCCACACGTCTCGCAGCAAAAACACATCCAGATGCATCCACTATAGCTGTCTCTGTCTAGGCCGAATCTGAGTATGACACAGACATGAAAAAATAAATATATTTTTTTTTAAGTCTGGAGAAGGTTCAGAGTCGGCTCAGTTCTCAGGACTATTGAGTGTCAGCCCATTAAATCTCTGTTCAGCCGCTCTGGTCAGCAACACTTCCTTTTAATGCAGCCGCATCGAAGATATAGTTTCTGTTGTCAGGATATCAGGATGGAGAAGAGATTTTCTCTCAGCATACTATTCTTAATCAAAAGTATTTAAGCTAGTTGCTGAGAGAATCTACAGGTATAGGTTATTGTGTGACTGTGACATCATCTGACAAAGTTTCTGACAGCTGCTGTGTGATAAATCACATTTAAAATCACAAAGAAGTTGTCTTCTTCTTCACTCTAGCGTACATTGTGTTTAATAGTTCTGTGACTGTGTTCACCATGTTTGACTACATGTCTGAAACCCTGTGTAACGGATTCTGATTAGAGTCCCTGCATGATGTGAAACACAGTGACACAATGCACAAGCTGCTTTGGGTTCTCCTCTCTACATCCACATCGAGGGGTGATGAGGGAGAAATTAGCGACACCTGGTGGCAGAAAGTAGAAGAGCATGTTGGATTTTGTGTGTTTCTGGTGAAGTCGCCGGATACTGAACTCTTACAGATCTGAGATAAACTACAAAATAAATTAGTAAACATAGTTTTGTTCACCGAAAATCAGTTGTCAGAATCTCTGGAAGCTTGTTGGTGCCAATACTTTAATCAATAATTTAATAAATTTTTCATTTTGTATTTATGTACCCATGATATAAAGTTAAAAAAATCCAACTTTCATTTCAACATTTGAAAATTAATTATTAATTATTACTAATTAATTATTTAATAAATTAAACTCCACTGATAAAAAGAAAATAAAAATCAATCAACAGATTATTTGTTGACAAATAATTTTCTTATCTTGGCACATAACTATCATGGAATAATTGTGAGACTCACAATCAAACTTTAAAATGAAACTGATTTGATTTTTACTTTGAAATATGAAATATGAACAATTATAAAATATGAAATATATCTAATACGGCCTTTGAGAGTCTGCCAGCTTGGCAGTGTCTGACTCCGCCCCTAACTCCCAGCTAACCCAAAAATGGTCAAAGAGGAGGGGCGTGTCTGGAGCCAAGACTTCGGTGTATGCCAAATTGTGGTAAGCATACGCTCACCCACCTGTCACTCAAAGAGGCCACGCCCTCAATCCTCCATAACTGTAGTCCTAAATAAAGTGTAAACAGGTGAGTTATATAAAGAGGTGAGTTATATAAACAGGTGTCATGAAGGAGGAAATTAGCTCTAGAGACCAAAACAGTTTCTGTACCAGGCTGTAAACATGTTGATTTCTGCTGCAAAGTTGGACATTTTAACATGGGAGTCTATGGGGACTGACTCACTGTTGGAGCCAGACTCTAGTGGCCAATAGAGGAACTGCAGTTCTTTGAATTTATACATTTCATCTTTCTGCCTCGGAGGTTGATGCTTGGTTGCCACTTAAATTGTCTATAGTAGATTTAGCGTTGGTCGATGTTCATTTCTACCAGTCACCTGTAAGTCAACCTTTTCAGGCCTGAATGCTTTCTGTCCACCTGCGTACGCCAATTAGACGGGCAGGAGAGCCTGCCTGTAGACAAAACCCAGGGCAAAACAAATCCTTCCAAGTGCCCCACAAGGGTATAGATGCCACCGACGACACTGAAAACATGTCTTCTCTATATTTCCTGGGAATTTTAGATTTTAGTGACATACACACGGTTACTATTTTAAAGGCATGTCCACCTACCCCCCCCCCCCCCCAAAAAAAAGAAGCAAATTACTTACTGCCATCACAACCTATTCCCCCTCTGCTGCATGCCTCAGGGAAGTGGAGTGCAATGTTGCACCAGTGTGACATCACATTTCAAATATCAGTGGCAAATCTCCTCCGACTTTCTCTCCACTAAACTCCTCCAACACAGTGTTAACCCACAAAGGGCAAATCAGTGACTAAAGACGGGTGAAATAAAACATGAATCTCTAGAGGGAGCCGTGATGTATAGTAATGTGTGTGTGTGTGTGTGTGTGTGTGTGTGTGTGTGTGTGTCCTCTCAGGCTTGGGTTACAGCTCTCTCCACCCCTGAAGGAAGCAGTAAACACTTGTTTTGTTATGATTTGAATATCAGCTCTCAGACTCTGAGGGAGGATAAATGATTATCATTAATTATAATAAATTTGCCTGTCAAGACTGCAATTATTTTGTTGCCACAAAAAATTGGTTATTCATATAATGGCAGCTGTGGAATGCAGCGGCGTGAATGACTCATGATTTTGTTGAACAATCAAAGCCCGGGAAGCTAATTGTTTCACTCGTCAAAATTTTCAAAATGGCACCATGCGACGGGGTGTGTGTGTGTGTGTGTGTGTGTGTGTGTGTGTGTGTGTGTGTGTGTGTGTGTGTGTGTGTGTATATATGTGTGTGTGTGTGTGTGTGTGTGTGTGAGAGAGAGAGAGTTAAACACTCTACTGTCATCTCATTTAATGTGCTTTATACTTTCTACCCCAGTACAGTTATGTGACAGCTTTAGTTACCAGTTACTTTAAAGATGAAGCTTTCACACAGTGGATAATAAAATATGATTTTACAATCCAACACGTTCAAGATTAAACTTTTTGGCTTCTGACGTTTTACATATCTAAATGCACCAGTGAGCTTCCTCTCTAAACTTCTCATGGTTTCATTTTAATAAATGTTCAAATGATCCAATATCTCACTAATAATCAACGACTAGAGTACAGTCAGTACAGTCCGTGTGTTTATTATTGTTACCATGACAACAAATATCGTCTGATGTTGAGGAAGCACTTATTTTAACCCAAATCACCATCTTTTCCTGAACCTAACCAAGCTATGACTGTTATTATAGTAACCATGGAGGCGAAGGTAGGCACACTGCTATTGGTATAGTTACAGTCTGCGTGTTTATTATTGTAACCATGACAACCAGGGTCGCGTACACCTGCTGCCCGTAGGGGTAACTTGGTAATGTAACTATAATTCTTTGTCGCCTCAGCGTGCAGTCAGCAAAAGTGTTTTGGTCTGTCTGTAACCATGGCGATGTGTGCAATTAACACCAGCACCAAAAGTAGTTCCATTTTCACCTTGATGTGTTTGAAAAATGTGGTGTGACAGACTCATTATGGTCCGACTCTGTCCTGCTGCTGAACTGAGTCGAACACCAGTGTGTCCGACCCCTTCACTGACCTGTACACACAACAGTTATCTCGGCCATTTGTGTTGTAATTTTCCATAAAAGTCCACACACACACAGGCACACACAGGCGCACACAGGCGCACACAGGCGCACACACACACACACCACACACACACACACATACACACACTCACCTCTCCAGAGAAGGCCTGTCCATTCAGCAGGTGCTCAGAGCCCTGGCCGTCCTCGCTGCCAAAGTGTAGCCGGATCTCCTCCAGACGATGGCTGTATGTCATTGGCCCTCCAGAGATGTTCACCAGATGCTCCTTGTCCAATCGTAGAGAGACATGGCGGCCCGTGTTGTACATCGTCCCTCCCACCTGGGGAAGAGCAGATGAAGAAAACTTAGCACATAAATGAAATCATATTCCCAAATATTCAAACTAGAGTCACCTCCTCGTGGTTGTATCCCTCCGCCACTCAGACTAGTTCCAGGTAACATCCCTGTTTATCCAGTCAGAGAAAATATTAACTATTTGTGTGAAATTTTGTTATAATCGCTATGTGAAGTCTTGATTTATGTTTTGTGAGGTCACACTGACCTTGACCTTCGAACACCAAAACCTAATCAGTTCATCCTTGAGTGCAAGTGAATGTTTGTACCAAATTTCAAGACGTTCTCTCAAGGTGTTACTGAGATAACGTGTCCATGAGAATGGAACAGACGTACATAAGAGGCTCAGAACCTCTCTTCTGATTGGCGGGCTGCTTTGTTGTGACATCACAAAGTTCCAGAAGTCCTGACGGCTGGTTTTAAGGCTCAGTTTCTGAATACAGGCTGTGTGCATTTCTCTGTGGACTGAGGCTTTGATACTTTCACAGTATTAATATAGAAGCTAGAGCTGATCTATAATCACACTACACATGGACACAGACCTTTACACTGGAGGAGCTTTAACAATAAATAATTATAACCAAAAACAACAAAGCATAATTCAGCTGCGGCTCATCATTGATGCCTGGATTATGTTCAGTGAAAACACTTGAGTGTTCTGGTACCGCAGGCGAAGTTCTTGGGATGTGTCTTGAACATAACCATAAAAACTATAATTGTGCTCCGTGACTGGATATTTTTAAAACAAATAAAAGGCTTTGCCAATTTGTTCAGTATAAGACTGCAATTTTTTGGGTCATTAAAAGTGTTCTCTTATTATGTTGATTAAAATAGATTTCAGATATTATAACATAATTTTGAAGGGACAGAAACTCATTAATAAAATAATATATTTAGGTGTATAAAATAATATGTCTTTCTGGAGGGGTATTTCTCTACAAAAAAGACAAGATAAGAAAATTATGTAAGAAAACTACATCAGAGAAAACTACTTTAAAGGAAATCTTTGCTGTGAAATCTTTTTAAACCTGTAGCTGTGGAACAATAATGACTGAAGGCTATTGGTGCATCGTGAAGGAAGGTTCACCTCAGATTGAGTCTTCTGGCTGACTTGACAGAGCAGTGAATCATTTGTTTAGTAAGAGCTTTAATAAATAAAAAAAAACAAGTGAGGAAAATGTTGAAGTCTTTCTCAGCTTTGGTTTCAGTAATAAGGAGACGCTGTCGTCTTGCATTTTCTGACGGCTTAGGAATCCAAGTTTTTGTTGAAGCCTGTATCATCAACAGCAGAACAGTCCTGAGGGCTTTATTTAATTAGGCGGCAATCCGAGCAGGAGGGAGGGGCCATGTTGTAAACTGCAACAACACTTGAGCAGACAATAGGAGAGCGTGCAGCCTCAAGTGAAAAGAAAGGACAGGGAGATGAAAAAAGTTTGCATTCAGAGGTTGAAATCAGGAGAATATGCTCACAATCGATACATTGCCAGGTTTGAGGGGAAACATGGTATTACAAAAGCCTTGAATAACGATCTTTATCTGCGCTGTGTTTATTTATTTATAATCAGGAGTTGTTTCAAAGTGAGGCATTGATATTCACGCCACGGCTTCGGGTGGACTTCCATCGCTCTTATCTGCCTCTCTCTCTCCTCTTTCCACTGCCCTTGCTTTCTCTCCTCTCCTCTCCGCTCCCTCACTCGTTTTACCACTCGCTTTCAAAATGATCACACCCCCCCTCCTCTAAATTCCCAGAGAAAGAAGAAGTCTGCCCACACATTGTAAATATTTTATAGAAGCTCTGAAAAAAAGAAAATCAATGGTTTGAAAGGAGAGGAAGAGGGAGCGATGCAAAGAGGAGATAAGAACAGGGAGCTGTAGGAGACAGGTGTGTTGGATTTAGTGGAGGGAAAAAGGTGAGTGAAGGGAAGTCTTTTAGGTTTTCCCAGCGAGGCGACAGGGGTGAGGAGAGACGCCTGAAAAGGCCAGAAAAATCTCATCTCCCTCGAGACCTCTGGCTCTTATTCAGGAGGAGGAAGTGGTGAGAGGCCACTTCCATCCGCCTGCTGATGAAAGACAGTGAGCTGATAGGCTGAAAATATGCATAATGCAGTAACACCCCAGATGCATTATACCCATATGTCATTTCAAAACCACAGGTATTAATACAGTGGGCTGCATCAGCTGGAAAAATGCTGCGGTGACCAATCAAATACACATTCTTGCTAGATAAGTTTGTAACAAGAACACTATTAACTTGCAGTCAATGCAACCACAGATAAATGTATCTATAAACTAAATTAGAAACCTCTGTGCAGAGTTTTGGTGTCTGATAAGCCTTCAAATTCATACATTTATTACAGAGACTGGACCTCCAGGGCCAGTTTCACAAAAGTGATATGCAGGATTAAGGTATTTAATAAGCTTTGGTCCCTGTTGCTACATTATATTGATACTAGACTAGCAGCCATCGTGTTGAAGGGTCTGGTGGATCACAGCTAAGAAACCATACAATGTACTAATGCATCAGTAATTTGATATGGGGTTGCACGGATTATAATGGATCGGGTGTGAATGATGCTGTATTGTTTTTCTTATTTATCTATATCGTGTTATTAATGATTTTCTTTATTTGTTTCTGATGTGTGACACGGCCTCCCACCATTATTTTGTTGTTAAAGTTGAAACTGTCCTCATATAACACGTTTTACCCCCCCCCCCCTTTTTTAAAACGTAACACGCTTACTCAGAGACATTTTAACTGACTCATTTCGTACTTTAGTCTGAGAACATTTTTTACACTGATTTTACTTCTACTGCAGTAAAATGTCTTTTCAGTAACTGTAGTTAGTGACCGTTGACGTTCTGACGTGCTGACGTCACTGTAGTGTCTCATCGCCAGTCTCTGGAGTTTCTGTTACCGGTAGTTTATTGCTGCTCTATCTGAACACAGTTACTGTTGTTTTCTTCATTACAGTGTCTAACTACCTGCTGTACATTTAAACTTACACTGGTTCTGCTCCAGCACCCACAGCTCTCTGCTGCTTTTAGCGACTTCCACTAACTCACCAGTTGTTTACATGCTGCTCAGATCAGCTAGTTACTTTAGCTTAGCAGTTAGCGCTAGCTTCTCTCTCTGCCTCTCTCTCTCTGATCAATAGATGAACGTGTTCATCAGAGTGCGGTGTTGTTGTAACTTCACTGTAGAGGACTGTGATGTTTATTACAGCTCCAGTGATGTCAGCTCTCTTACCTTCGACACACAGCTCCGCTCGTTCACCGGGGCCGCTTTAGTTTGTGACCGTCTGCGTACACAGCGGCCTCCAGCGTGATAGGCTGTTAATCGTGACGTATAACCAATCAGATGAAGCTGTGGGCGGGACACTGCGGCACACGTTTGTTGACTTTACTGTCAGATCTCGCGAGGTTTTTTTTACAAAAACAAATCGCCAAAACCCTAAAAAGGAGAGGGCAGAGGAGAACCAGCAGCTAGTGAGAAGTAACGGTTCCGGTGTGTACCACTCCTCTGGGAATATGTAGGACACTGGAGATGGTTGCGACACTTTTTACATTTCTGTAAAAGACTGTTTCTGAGACTGTTTGGACCAGACCAACCAAACTTTTACATATGCAACATCGATCAGGGACGACTGTGACATATTAAAAATACATAAAATTTCGTTTTCTTTTGTCTTAATAAGCATAGTATTCTGAAAATTTGGATGGTTTTACCATAATATTATTGTATTTTTTTTCTCTTATATGTTAAAATTAGCAATTATTGTTGCATCTGTTGTGCTGTGGGACAGAATTAGCTGCATATTTTGTCTATTTTCAACAAAAAATGTTGACAAATACTGTTGTGTGGTGAGTTTTGATTTGGCTGCTTAGCTTGGCGACAGTTTCAGTAACTTGTTACAACCGTCCCCAGTGTCCACTGCTTCCCACACGATTTTAGACCCTGGCTGCAGAGTTTTGCCTGCATTTAGCGGCGTAGTGGACCTTCACCGACCACAAAGCTGGAAACATTTATCTTCTAAAATACAACTGTATGCTGTATTATAATGATTTGCTTTAGTTAATTCTGAACCATGAAAACATCCTCAGACCAAAAGTACACAAAAACATCTGGCCACAAATAGAGAAACAGCTGTAATATTAAGTCTCTCCAGCCTTAAATCTTCACACTATTGTTTCATGTGACTGTTGCATATAGCAATCAGTGTTCACTCTGTGCACAGGATGACAGATTTGTTTTTTTTTTTGTTTTTTTTCCCCAGCCAATATCTGTTGTTCAGGCTGATTGCTCATGTCAGGGTAAATGGCTGGAGGCTGGCTGGGAGGCGCGGGTAGTGAAGTGTGGTTGGAATGACAGAGGCGAGGAGCGTAATCGTGTTTGTCTTACAGTGAAAAGCGAGACCCGGCAAGGCCGCGAGAAGAGCATGTACAGTAAAAGGAAGCTCCTTTTCTAATTGGTAATTCTTTCATCTCGTGGGATCAATAATCCCCGGCTAGTGAAATGAAGTAGTCACAACAGCAATAACAGAGGAGAACATCATGGTGGAAACTCTGCTGCAGCTACTGAGGGAGGGAGGGAAAAAAAGACTAAGAGGCTGTACATGATGCAATCTCAGATATGCAAATGATCAACTTGAAAAGTGGGGATTTTGAAAAGAAAAACAAAACTCGGCCGGAGCAACAAAAAAAGTTTCAGAAAAGTGAACAAAAGACATAAAAAATGGCTGATCTTCTGAGGAGGGGTTGAAGGAGATCACATTTAGCTGTGTTTAGCCAGCTGCTGGGAGCCCGCACAATAAAACGTGCTAGCTTCATTTGTCATGTGTCTGCCGCGACAATTACCAGACAAAGTCAATGCAGTGGAAAGGTTGCAAACAAAGCAAAGACACTATATTCCAATCTGCTTCCTCGTTATTCCTCGGAGTCTCGACACTGAAGTAATTATTACGAGCGGGTTGGGGAGTTCATATTTTC